CTACCATTCTAAAGGTATGCTGCTTTATAAAAATATCTGAAACTCTATTTAAGTGTTCTCTTTTATTTCAGGTTCCATGGTGGCCTGACTCAGCTAGCTGGTGGTTACTGGGGTCACTGATACAACTGAAGATACACAGAAATTAATGCTTGTGTTGTACATCTTCTCTACTGGAGATGAAGGTGGTCCAGCTGTCTTGTTCTGTTCAAACTTGCCTGGTGCTCTCCCTAGAACAGCAGGAACAGAAGCAGACTTCCGAGCCTCTGTCTAGCCAACACAACATCCTCAGCTAGGGCTTCTTCCAAGCTTGAGACTTTTGTTATAGTCATACATGCTGTCTGGGTTTCCCAGAGCTAGCATGGCAAGAGGCCAGGCAACAGCTGAAATGCTTCTTTATGACTTGGCCTTGGAAGTTATTAAGTATCATTTCTGCTTCATTCTTTTGACCATATTAAAATCATAAAAGTCAAACTCATTTCAGGAGAATGAAATTATTCTACCTGCTGCTGCAAAGAGCGAACCTGATCCCTAAGGAAATAAGGGATTTGTTGGTAGAGTAACAATGGTCTTCAGGAACGGTTCAGGAGACTTCTGTGGAGGCAGCTCTATACCCTTCCAATTGTCTTATGGAAACTAAGGTGTGTGTGATCCAAAGGGATTGGAGTTTTACAGGTCATGTGTCATTGTCATGGTTTGAAGGAGAACATCTTCCGTAGGCCCTGATGTTTGAACCCGGTCCCCAGTTGATGGAGTTGTTGCGATGTTTCAGAGGTTGGGCTTGCTGGAGGAAATAAGGCTTTAAGACATTCAAGAAATGTTCCACCATTTGAGTTTCCTCTCTCTGCTTCCTGCCTGTGATTTAAGATGTGAGCAGCCCTAGCCACCACACCTGCCATCTGCTGCCTCTGTTCTGCCATCATGGACTTTTCCCCCCTGGAACTGTAAGCCCAGACAAACCCTTTCTATAAGTTGGTCTGGTCATGCTATTTCATTACAGCTGTCAACAGGAACTAATATGCTCATATTTAACAAATAGGGCCTTATTGGATTAAGTAAAACATAATGAAGAATGTAAAAATATAGTCAAACCGTTTAAGTACTAAAACTCACTCATAGGCACAGGCAGATTGTGGGTAATGCTGATTAAGCTCTATTTGCAAGGAGTCTTAAAACCAATATTAAGAACTATTATATACTCTTAGAAATAATAAGAAATGTGAAATAATAATAATAAAAAATACCTGCTATGTGTGTAGAAATAAATTGTCTGTAGGGTTATTTGCACTTTAGCGAATGTCCAGGTATCCCACAAAAAGTTCACCAGACTACTTTATAATTATTCAATACATTAGTTACTTTCCCCTGCTGTTGCTACAATCCCAGAAAGAGATGACTTAGGTAAGAAACACTTATTTTAACACACAATGTCAGAGGGTTCCAGTCCATCATGTTGGTGAAGACTATGGGTATGTGCAGTGTAGTCTCAAACACCATGGAAGGCCAGGAAGCAGAGAGCAAGGTAGTAACTAGAGCCTTTGTATAAACTCAATAAACCATCTAGAAATTCCCTTACAATGTTTCCAGAACCTTGCCAGATGGATCCGGGAGCTGGGGAATAAGTTTCAAAACACAGCTCTTGTGGGGGCCCACAGGATGTGAGCCTGTTCCACCTTGACTAAAGGTCAGAGAGTTTGGGCTTATTTTTGCTCTTTCAAAGTTGATGACAGCAGGTGTGGCTACAAACAAGAGATCCTAGGGTGTGGTGAATTAGTATTTTGAGTATAGAGATGGATCTGCTCTACCTTGCTATTCTTGTTCCTTCAAAAGAGATTGGCAGGAGGTTCCACAGAGTAGCTGCCTACAGGATACTTGGTCTATTTCTTATATTATGTTATTGAAGTGTGTTTCCTCTCTCCTCCCCTTTAGAAGTGAAGTATATAAGCATGTGGAAAATAAATGCTGGCGCTTAAGTAGTCACTGAATTTCCCTCCCTGTAGTGGGGAGCCGCGGGCAGGCCTGCATTTTGTCCCACGCAGCTCCCACACAGCTAGCTTAGCCCTGGAAATAACAACATACAAATTGTATTCATTTAAACACTGCCTGGCCCATTATCTCTAGAGAGTTAGTTACTGACTAACTCTCACATCTTGATTAACCCATTTCTAATAATATGTGTAGCACCACAAGGTGGTGGCTTACCAGAAAAGATTCAGCATGTCTGACCTGGTGGCTGGCTCCATGGCGTCTGCCTCACTTCCCTCTTCCCAGCATTCTGTTCTGTTTACTCCACTTACCTAATTTTCTGTCCTATCAGAGGGCCAAGGCATTCTCTTTATTAACCAATGAAAATAACATATAACAGAAGGCCCATCTACATCATTTCCCCTTTTTCTATTTAAACAAAAAGAAAGGCTTTCACTTTAACATAGTAAACTTACACATAACAAAACAGTAAGAATTACAGTTACAATATTTATATCTATTTTATCTTTATCATAATAATGGAAAACTATAACTATAACTAACCATTCTTCAACTCCAACAAAGACTCCAGAAGGATATGATATTACCTAAGTAAACAAGAAGTAAGCAACTTCCAAAACTCTAGAAATGACAGAGACATCTCACTGCCTGGACAGTCACCCAAAGTTCCTGTGTACTGTTGGGGCATCCATCTTCGGCCTTCAGGTCCATCATACCCAGCAGACATTTCCATGAAGCAGGAAATTTCAAAGGCAGTTCAGTCACTATCTGCTGTGTCCTGCAGAATGTCTCATAGACTCTTTCATAAATCAGGAACCCCGAAAGATCATCTCACCTTTAGGCAAGTTCAGCAGTCCTCTCTCTGCGGGTTCTCTGTGTCCAGTTTATACAACAGTCCAGGCAAGAGCAGTTTCTTGCCCAAATGGCTATCAAACTCCATAAGGAGCCTCTTCAATGCCCATCTTCCTCTTGAAGTAGATTGGTGCTGCCAGGAGCAGACGTGTCTCATTGTCATGAAAAGCCCTAAGTTATTAAAACATTAAATGCCATGTTCTGTAGTCTTTGAAAGATATGTAGAATTCCTATCTGAAATATATCTATGCACATCTAGAAAATCAAACTAACATTACTACAAGCTTGACTATTATCGATGATTATCCATTAACAACCTATATTTTAATTATATATTGCATTTTAAATGAACTACCTAATCACAATACCTCAGTCAAGATCAGAAATATATATATACATATAACAAAATTGACCTTAAAGTCCATACCAATGCAAATTATTCATATCTATATCATATCCCCCTTTAAATGTAAAAGAACATTTATAAGCAATATTTGGGAATATGGACGTAGTTATTTCTCTCCAAACTGCTTTGTGCTGAACAGGGGTGCTGTTAATCAGGTCTTTCACGGTATAAACTGTGTGCTAGATTGATCTCAGTCGGCAGTTGAGCAAAATAATTTCTTGAAGGTGTTCATAGCAACCTTTCAGGAAGACGGGGTCTATCATACCATATTGGGATAGAAGCAATCCACAGGGTCTCATCCTCTGTGAAAACAAAAGAAGACCTTTTCCAAAGCATCATAACCTTAGATACAAATTTTGAAGTCAATGTATTTTCAAAATATCTAACTTGGATTAGTTCAGCAGCATTTATAAACAAGTATCTTTTAGCAGCTGTTGCTCCTTTCTCAGCATTCAAACAATTCAAAGAGAGCATAATAGTATACAGTACCAAGATTCTCTGTGTATTTTCCATCTTTACATGGCTTTATTTTAACCTCTATTTCTTTTATTTTTACTTTTACTTTTAGAGACAGATTCTCTGTATATCTTTGTCCTGGAATAATTCTGTAGACCAGGCTGTCCTTGAACTCACAGAGATTCACTGTCTCTGCCTCCCCAGTTGCTAGGATTAAAGGCAAATGCTACCACACCACACCTTGAACTCACAGAGATCTATCTGTCTCTGCCTCCCAGGCATTGGGATTAAAGGTGTGTGCTACCACACCTTGAAGTCACAGAGGTCAATGCATCTCTGCCTCCCAAGTGTTGGGATTAAAGGTGTGTACCACCACACCCAACTACTTTCTTTCTTCCTTTTTTACCCTAAGAACTTTAACCTTTAGCTTGCATATGTTTTTAACACATAGTAAACCATTTAGAGGTTTCCTTTGTCTTTGAATCTCTCTTTACTGTATATCTCTCTTTCTGACTACGTGAGTCTTTTTGGAGAGGATTAAAGCCACGGCTTGGACAGCTCATTCCTTAGCTTTCCAGCCTCGGCGGAGGTACTGGCTGTAGCCATTTTTGTTGCCACAATTCTATGGTATTTCAAGGTCCCTGCCAGCAAGCAAGCTGTATCATTCTGCTCACAGACCACACTCAGTCAGACTGCCTGCCTGAAAGAGTCAGAGTTTGCCCTGGCAGGACGGCCGGCATTTTAAAATGGCACAGCTTTTTTGCTGCTGCGGCTGACAACTGCAAAGCATGTGTTCAGCTTTTCATCAACACTGTTTAAGTGTTTCGTGGCAGGACCTTTTAAAAGAACTGCAAGGTTTTGCAGCTAAAGCTGAGTCAGGAAGCCTCTCTTAGATGAGAGTGCTTGCTTGCCTCTAGCAAGCAGAGCAGACCTGAGAAATTGCTGCTACCAAGAAGACATGCTTTACTCTATTCTTTTCCAAACTTTCTCAAGCTTTCTGTGGATTCAGTTCTCCACGTCTGGGCACCATATGTAGTGAGGGAGCTGCGGGCAGGCCTGCTTTTCATCCCACCCGGCTCCCGCACAGCTAGCTTAGCCCCGAAAATAACAACACACAAATTGTATTCATTTAATACTGCCCGGCCCATTATCTCTTGAGAGTTAGTTACTGACTAACTCTTACATCTTGATTAACCCATTTCTAATAATATGTGTAGCACCATGAGGTAGTGGCTTACCAGAAAAGATTCAGCATGTCTGACCTGGTGGCTGGCTCCATGGCGTCTGCCTCACTTCCCTCTTCCCAGCATTCTGTTCTGTTTACTCCACCTACCTAATTTTCTGTCCTATCAGAGGGCCAAGGCAGTCTCTTTATTAACCAATGAAAATAACATATAACAGGGCCCATCTACAGCACCTCCTGGTGCTGTTCTGTGTTTCTCTCTTTTATTTCTCTATGTCTGTGTTCCTTTTGCCTAATAATTCTAATCCTCACACTCCTATCCTGGAATGTGCAAATTTCATCTAGGCTGGATCCCAAAGGACATGTGGCTTACGGCAAGCTCTGTAGTGAATATTTGAGAGTGAACCCTGATAACCCTCTAAAACCAACCTTTTCAAGATAGGTAGGGATTAGCTTCTCATTTTTATCATCTTTAATTCTTCCTATGTCCAACTTTGCCTTCCTATACCTCTCATCAGATCAAATATCTATTAGGATTTTAGAGGCCCACTGATTTTTTTGAAGTCTAGGGAGACTTGAGAATCAAGGAAAGGCAGAACAGGGTTTTGGTTCTGCTCTTGACTTTGACAACTTTGCAGCAGCTAGCACAATTGCCAGAAGGCTCGTTGCTCCAGGTTTTTCTCCGATAAAAAGATCTCTCCTGCACCCTCATCTTTCCCTCTCGCTGTTTCTGTCCCCCAGTCTTATTTCTATGGCTGTCACCAACAAAGTTGCATGACCTATGGATTCTTCTTTAAAAAACATTTTAAGTTCCATTACATTTTCAACAAAGTAAAATATATTTTCTATTTCTCTAATCCTGAGTTTCAGAAACCATTGATCTCCAACTACTCAGTCACTAGGTAATGATCTTGAGAAAACGCCCCAATGCACAAAAGAAACTCAGATTTTCATGAGAATGCTTTCTTCATTCTTTTTTTCTTATTTTACAATCATTAAAAATAGACTAGCTCGTCTTCATGGACATTCTTTCCTGGGGCTGACTGAGAAGCTTTAACACTTAGCCCTTGCAGGATGACTTGGCCAGTCCACATCTCACAGTGTGTGCTTTACAAAAGCTCCTCGGCCCCCGCCCTCCATATTCTTATTGATCAAAGAGAAGCCTCGGCACAAAGTTAGAGAAAAATAAAGAGGCTGGAACTGAGGTATTAGGGTCTGTGGAAGGCAGCCTTAGAAGGCTGGTGCCACAGTCAGGGGTGCAGTACTTACTTAGCATTATGGGGCCCTCCTTATGGTCCTCAGCAAGAGAGAAAAATGAACTGAAGAAATGAAAGTTGCCTTGCCCTGGATGAAATGAAAGCCTCTCCAAGGCATAGCCTCTGTACAATCCTCCGTATTTTATCCTATCTGTTCTTCAGTTTTGACTCTGTGCTTTGTTTTCTTTCAGAACGCGGCTGATTCTTAGGGCACGCATGTGTGTGGGACGCCTCTTCTCCCTTGCTCCTAAAGCTGTGAGAAGAACAAAAGCCTCACACTAGTCCTTTTCTTTCTGTTTTGTGCAATGATAAGCGCGCCTAACACTTCTGCATATTTTGTTCATATTGAGAGTCCTTAATGAACTGCGATATGTCTTCCAGGAAGACAAGTACCCATGGTGAGGGGGTCAAGATAGCCCTGGGTGTCCTGGAACATGCTCTGTAGACCAAGCTGGCCTTGAACTCAGAGATTCACCTACCTCTACCTCTGGAATGCTGAAGAATTAAAGTCAAGCACCACCACCACCCAGCAATGAGTATTCTTAACATAGTGGATAGTAGGTATCTTAAAGTTGGGAAGGCTGGAGAGATCTGAAACCTTTACAGCCTGCCCAGAGTGTTGGAAAACAGCAAATGTCCATAAACCCATAGGAAGATATACGGATGTGAAAATATTCTGTATTAGTTAGGGTGTTTTACTGCTGTGAGGAGACACTGTGACCACAGCAACTCTTGTAAAGGGAAAACATTGAATTAGGGTGGATTGCATTTTCAGAGGTTTAGTCCATTATCATCATGATACGACGTGTGCAGGCAGACATAGTGCTGGAGAAGTAGCCAAGTGCCCTACATCTTGACTTGCAGGCAATAGAAGTGGCCCTTCTCATTGGGCATGGCTTGATCACATATGAGACCTCAAAGCCTGCCTCCACAGTCACATACTTTCTCTATCTATCAAGATTGCACTTACTCCAACAAGGCCACACCTCCTAATAGTGCCACTCCCTTTGGGGTTTATTTTCTTTCAAATCATCACATTCCACTTTTCTGGTCCTCAAAGGCTTATAGCCGTATCATAATGCAAAGCTACATTCAGCCCAACTTCAAAAGTCCCATGGTCTCATATAACAGTCTCAAACTTATTTGAAAGTCTAAGGTTCAAAGTCTCTTCTGAGATTCATGCAATCTCTTAATTGTAATCTTCTGTAAAATCAAAATCAAAAAGCAGATCACATACTTCCAACATATAGTGGCAAAGGATATACATTATCAATACTAAAGGAAGGAAAGGGGACATAGTGAGGAAATACTGGACCAAAACAAGACTGAAAACCAGCTGGGCAAACTCCAAACCCTACATTTTCATGTGTGCTGTCAAAACACTCTTCAGATTCCCAACCCCTTTCCGTTTTGTTGACTACAGTACACTTCTTTCTCTTGGGTTGATTCCACTCCCTGTTAGCAGCTCTTATTGTCAGGTATCCCACGACTCTGGCATCTTTAGCATCTTGGGATCTCCAAGGCAATTCAGGCTTCTCCTTTAAAGTTTCACACAATGGCCTCTCTAGGCCTCCATGCAGGGACACCCTTGACACATTCCTGGCCTCAGTGGCTTTCTTTGGTCATAGAGGCAAATTCCATAAGTCATTTCCTCTTTCTTAACTCTAAAGCCAGAACCATGTAACTGAAGCTGCCAAGTTCTGTAACTTGTTGGGTCTGAAACATGGCCTTTTTATTCAATTACATATTCACCATCTTTCTGTTTTCCATGGTTACATTTACTGCCTAAGCTTGGTTGTTCTGGAACCTGCCCTATAGACCAGGCTAGCCCCAAATTCAGAGATTCATCAGTTTTTGCCTCTAGAGTGCTAGAATTATAGGTCTTCACTGCCATACCCAGGTCTAAACTTTTCTCTAATTCCTTTCCACAAGTTGGGAAGCATGCCCTGAGGTTACAACTCCTTTTACTCAATTTCTTAATCTGTATATCTCTTTGAACAAAGAATTTAGCTCCATTCTACTTCCTGGTTCTCCATTTTCAATTTACTCTGCTCAGCTTGCTCCTTTTCATTATAAATCTTTATTAGAGTTAACACTAATAGCTTGTAGCATGAGGGCCTGCTTCTTGGGGTTTCTGCCCTTGGGTGCCATTCTGTAGCATGAGGGCCTGCTTGTCACCCCGACTGCCCACATAGCTTAGCCTCGAAATAATCACACAGAAAGTCTGCATTAATTATAAACTGATTGGCCCATTATCTCAGGTTTTGTATTAGTTCTAATAACTTACATTAGCCCATTATTCTAGAGTATGTTAGCCAAATGACTTGGTACCTTTTTCAGCGAGGCAGATCACATCTTGCTTTTTCCGTGATCTGGATAGGAGTGTGAGAGAGCTTCCTTCTTCCCAGAATACTCCTGTTCTCATTGCCCCACTTCTACTTCCTGTCTGGTTTTCCAACCTATATTTCCTGTCTGGCTATTGGCCAATCAGCATTTATTTAAAATGTAATTGATAGAATACAGACAATTCTCCCACACCAATAGCCACATTACAGAGTCTGTACTGGATTGTTTTGAGATTTCTTCTGTGAACGAAATTAAAACAAAACTCTCCACTCAGCCTCAGGAAGATTCTTTGGGCAAGGGCAAAAAGCAGCCACATTGTTCACCAAAATATCATAAGAATAATCTCTAGGCCACATACAAATATTCTTCCCCTCTGAAACCTCTTGACATAGGCCTCAACAGTTCAAATAACTCTTAGCCCTACTGTCATCAATGCTCCTACTAGTATGGCCCATTAATCAGCACCTAAAGTATTCAATTGCTTTTCTAATCCACAGTTCCCAAACAAAAACATGGTCAGGCCTATCACAGCATTATATCAGTCTGTAGTACCAACTTCTGTCTTAGGTTTCTGATTGTTGTGAAGAGGCACCATGACCATGGCAACTCTTACAAAGGAAGACCATTTAATTGAGATGACTCTCTTACAGTTCATAGTTCAGTGGGACTATGGAGGCATGTAGGGCATTATTGCCATGGTGGGACATGGAGGCATGTAGGCAGGCATGGTGCTGGAGAAGCACCTGAGAGTTCTACATCTTGTAGGCAGCAAGAAGTGGTTTGTCTCACTAGGTGTGGCTTGAGCATAGATGAGACTTCCAAGCCCATGCCCACAATGACACACTTCTTCCAACAAGACCATATCTCCTAATAGTTCTATTCCCTTTGGGGGCCATTTTCTTTGAAATCAACCACACAATAGGAAAGGAGTCAGATGCCAACTCACCCTGATAGGAGAGCTGAAGGGAGCAAAGTCCAACAGAGAGGAGCTTGAGAATGAGTTTGTTGAATGAGTTCAAAGCCAGTGTCTCTGAGTTGGGTTTGGCACAGCACTTGCTTCAGTATGCCAGGTCATCAGACTGAAAGTCAGATTTATCACTGTTTTTGCAGTTTTCCTTGAGGGGTAGAGACTTGGTGAGAAAAGGAGTGCTAACACAAACACCAGCTACCTTATCCACCCATTTCCTAAGCAGGAAAGAAAGGGCTCCTGGAATTTCTATTTTGTAGATAGCACCAGGGAAAGAAAGGATAATCTTCAGTACAAGCCAACTTCCTTATGATTGGTCTAATAGTGCTGATATTGACTGAAGTCATTCACAATAAATAATAAAAACAAAAGCTAAGAGTACATAGATAGCATCTGCTGATTATCTTGTTGCTCGGAGTTTCCTCCTTTGAAACAGCAGATAAGTCCATTAGAAGGGCTTTACAATAAGGACATTTAATTTAATTTTTTTCACATACTGAAAAGTCTACAGGTCTTTAAAAATGGTTTCTGGATCGACTAACTGCAACTTGAAAATGTCATGTCCGTTGGTATGGCTTCTCTGAAGAAATTGTAGCTTACCTCATGAAAGCAAGATGGAGTCCATAGCTCATAAAACAATGTCTAGTTATCCATGGGGATTGGGATAGTCTTTATCCTTTGGAGTCTCTGTTTCCTTCAGAGAACAAAATATAATAATCCTTCAACAGAATTCCCAGGTTTTATTTACTGAGACCAAGTCTTTAGCTCACCCACAGATGGGTCATCATGGCTTTATTTCTGCCAGGATGTGGCCAATAGATCTCCTGGTTCATACCAGGGCATGTTCACATGCTCAACTTTTATTCCTAAGAGGGAATGGTGTAAGGGAGGCAAATAGCATCTCCTTCCAGTGGCCATGCATATTAACAAACACTTTGCCAACACTCTGCATTTAACCCTGCTGCAAACCTCCTATGAATTATATTAGTAATTATATTCCAAAGAAACCAAGGCACAGAGAAGCTGTATAACTCACACAGCTAGGATCACACAGCTAGCATGCCGTGGCATGTAGAAATATTCTTTCATGGAGTGTTTATTAAGTCCCTGACATATATAAAGAGATGAGAAAATGAAGACAATCTTTGCCTTCCGGTGCTTGCAGTTCAGTGAAAGACGGCTGATGAACAAGTTAATAGTGGCTCTATAAGTGGCCAGGTATGCACAAACTGTGGCAAGCTCATCAATAGTATAGACAGGACAGCTTTTAGCTGCAGTGTGAATAGCCCTGGAGAGGTGAGCAGGAGCCCCAGGAAGCCCTGTCCTGACAGGAAATGCGCAGAAGCTCAGTGGAACGTGGAACATAGAGCAAAGTCAAGGTTCACCTTGGAAAGGTAGAACTTGCTGTAGGAAAGAATGTTCCTTTCTGTTTGGAAAGCTTTCCATTGTTAATTGGACATTGTGTCCCCCAGGAATTACAGCAGATCCAGGCTGCAGTGACCCTAATCCAATTTAGAAGTGTGTTTCTGCACCTCAGGTGAAATGCCTGCTTGCACATGGCTTTAAAAGTAATCTTTCTTGTGCTCGCAGAAAGTCAAAGACAAGGAAAATGTCTTCCCTAGACACACGCTTTTAATCAACTCCTAAATGGCACAAAAGTTACCATTTTTCATATCAGGTGGCTTTCCTGGAAAATAGATTTTTGGTATTTTTTTCCCAGTGCATTCAAGAGAAACTTTTTGTCAGAGCAGTTAATGAATAGAATAAAATATAAGTGAAGATGAAAATTAATTTAGGTAAACCAAAATGGCATTTTCAGCTAAAACAATTTTAAAAGTATTAAATTAACCTGCAGCAGGGCTTGAAAAGACCATTGTATTTCTAGTATATGAAACAATACTTATCATTTGGTAAAACACTACAGGTTCCCACAAAAAACAATGGATTTGTTTCCCCTCTCACCCTAAGACTCTGAAGACTGTGCCATGTGATAACCTTAGCCGTTTTGAGTTAATGACTTCTAAATGGTTCCATATCACAGTGTCTTCCTTGCCAGCCCTTCCTACCATTTTCTTTCCCTAACCCTCCCAGCAGATGGGCTAAAAATACAGAGTGCACTGGCTGGAAGGTCAGATCTGAGCCGTCTGTTCTTTAAGCACAAATACTGAAAACACTAACCAGGGTGTTCTAGAGAACGGGACACTCACTGCTTGGATGGAGAGGTGACCCAGCAGTGGCGTGCTGGCTGAGACTTTACATTGTAATAAGAATAACTGAATTCAGTTGTAGATTTATTGCTAGTCAATTTATTGTTCATTTGCAAGGATTTAAAAACTTTTTTTTTTAAAAAAAATAGTAGATTTGGAGCTGGCTACAGAGAATCCATGATTCCTCTCTGTTCTTTCAGTGACATCTTTTACCCAGATGCCTACCAGCCTGGGACCTGAAGCCATTGCCAGGCCAGGTCACTGGTCTCCTGTAGTCACTCTTCCCTTTCACAGACACAGGTGAGACTAACGTGCTTTAAACCCCAAATGAAATAATATAAACACAGCCTAAATTCTCTTGAGTGCTGAGTTTATGAATCAACTATTTCTAGACTATGTTGCTTTCCTATATGGCCTTTGACGTTCAACACGGTGACGTAAGAACCACCAACTATGTCTCTATTTTTATTTCATTGGTCTTCTGTATTAGTGTAGAGCCCACCATCCACCAGTGTGCTGAAGCCAAACCGCCAACTCCGCTCTTGTTCTTTCTGAGGACAGCGAGTCCTCAGACGCAGGACTCTTCTTTCTAAGCATGTTTGGATTGATTCACTTACCCACTTTATTTCTGCTCTGTCTCCAGCCCCCAGTCTGACCGCTCCACAGACATTCTTGCCTCCCATACTCAGGCTCCATGCAACAGGGACTCTTTAGAGTGAAGTAGAGTGTAAAGTCCCCTGCTTAAAAGGTTCCAAACGACGGTTGCTAGGTGCTCTCAAAGTAAGAGCTGAGCTCATGACCTGGTCCCATGTCTTTCTAGTCCACTCCCAGGTCCCAGGTCCCAGGAAGTTCCCCTTGTCCTACATGTTCAGATACAAAGGTCTTTTGTGCTTTCCACAGTCTGCTCATGGCCTTTGAGCTGGCTGCTGAGTGTTCCAGGTCACGGCACTCCCTCTTGTCAGCTACTACATTCCCAACTTGCCGAGACCTTGTTAGGTGACTAAATTAATTAGCTGAAGTTTTTGTTTTGTTTGGTTTGGTTTGGTTTTTGGTTTTTAACTGAACTATACATTTTGTCCATTTCCCTCCCTTCCTCCTCTCTCCCCTTCTACCTTCTCCATGACCCCCCACTCCCAATTTACTCAGGAGATCTTGTCTTCTTCACCTTTCTATGTAGATCCATGTATATCCCTCTTAGGGTCCTCTTTGTTGTCTAGGTTCTCTGGGTTTTTTTGTGGCCTGTAGGCTGATTTTTCTTTGCTTTATGTCTAAAAGCCACTTATGAGTAAATACATATTATATTTGTTTTTCTGGGTCTGTATTATGGCGGTCAATATGTTTTTTCTAGATCCATCCATTTGCCTGCAAATTTCAAGATGTTATTATTATTTACCATTGTGTAGTACTCCATTGTATAAATGTACCACATTTTCTTTATACAGTCAATAAGGATTCATCTTTCCCCAAATCCTCTCCAGCATCTGTTATCATTTGTTTTCTTGCTGGTAGCCATTCTGAATGACAGGAGATGAGCTCTGAAGTAGTTTTAATTTGCATTTCCTTAATTGCTAATGATGTACAATGCTTCAAAAATTATTGGCCATTTGTTTTTCTTCTTTTGAGAACTGTTCAATTCACTGACCCATTTTTTGATTAACGGTTTTATTTTGTTGCTGTTCTTTTCTTTTTATGTATGCTATTAATTAGCCTCCTGCCTGAGGAATAGCAGGCAAAGCTTTAGGCTATAGGCTTTCATTTCCTTCTGTTGACAACTTTTTTAGATGTGCAGAAACATTAGAATCTCACACAGAATTCTGTTTGTCATTTCTTGGGATGCTTTCCTTTCTTCTTTCTTTCTTTCTTTCTTTCTTTCTTTCTTTCTTTCTTTCTTTCTGTTTTGAAAGTTCTAGTCATAGAGTTCTTTACTATACCTATACCTTGTAGTATTTTTTTTTTAAATTTCCTTTGGAAATTTCAGTGTCTAAGCTTTTAAGTGAAATGTCTTTGTGTGTAAGGTGAGAAATACAGACTGAATTTTATTCTTCTCTTGGTAGATATACAACTTTTAGCGGGACCATTTTAAAAACTCACACACAGATATATATATATATATATATATCTGTGTGTGTATGTATATATAATAAAAACACATATATATGTATATTATGCATTTTATGGAACCAAAAGTTCTGCATAATTTCTCTAGGTTCTCTCTCTTCTCTTCAATTAAGAATCAAAGATTGAAGAAATATATTTCCAAAATATTACAGTAGGGATATGTTATGTTCGAATATAAAATGTCCCCCATAGGTTTCTGTGTTCAATGCTTGGTTCCAGGTAAGAGGTAAAATTTTGGAAAGCAGTGGAAATTTCAGGAGCTAGGACAGAGGTCAGGGAAGTGGTTTACTCAGATCAGGCCTACAAAGGCCATACCTGAGCTCTTGTTCCCTTTTCAATATACTGTCTTGTCACCAAGAGGCAAACAGGCTCCTCTACATGCATTCAACTCTCATAGTAGTCTATTCAAATGCATGAGGCCGAGCAACAAGGACCCACACATCATTAGCCACACTTCTTCTTTTCCTTTAAACTGTTCTCTCAAGTATGAATAAAAAATATCCAATACAAGGTGTCCTTAGACTATCAACTGTTGGTTGCAATGGGGCATGCCTCTTGTGCCATAATGAATTCTAAGACTCTGGGACCAAGTTTTGATTGAAGTGGTGTTGGTTTTCTGAAAAGCAATCATTGTGGAACAATTTTTGTTATCCTTTTCCCCCAAATTTGAGGTATAGAAGGCAACCCTTATTGAATCAGTTAATGTCAAGAGCGGTTTCTTAAGATACGTGATTTAGTTTATGAGGGAACCTACCCTAGGCACCAGCTGTCATGTGCCTTCAGAAACCAATGGAAGCCAGTTCATGTGCTTAAACATAATCAGGCTCGACAGCCCAGGCAGAGATAAATGGTGTGCTGATGAGTCAGAAGAGGGGCACAGTGGGTAAACAAGACTTCATCTCATTTCTGAATGTAATCTAAGTAGACTTCAATTTAGAGATTACATTACAGATGCTCACCGAAGTGAACAAGTGTGTCCACCAAAAATAGTATAAGAAAGTATTCAGAAATACAGCCCACACAAAATTATTCACTGTGTACACTCAGTTAAAATGATGGAAGTTTGGAAACTTTCCCATTGCTAAATAAGTGGCTGAATAAATTATGGAACTCAGAAGATCATATACTTAAATTCTGTTGGGAAAAGTATAGATTGGCAGTGGTAGATTCCTACAATATTGACATAGGGAGACTGAGGCAGGAAGAGGGTGAGTCCAGCCTGGGCCACACAGCAGCAAGACTGCCTCCCCAAAAGAACACACACACACACACACACACACACACACACACGGAAAAAGTTCTAATTTTACTATATGAACATAGCTTTAGAATGTCTTGAGTTACATTGGTCTCATAAGACAATTAAAACCAATATATACAGCAAATGAAGAAAATGTGTTCACTTAGCCAACATACGCTTGTGTAGTGCTGTGCACTGATTGGCGTAGAGCTGATGCTCAGGTACACTCCCTGCAATACCTTCGCACCATAGGTGCTTCTGACTGGAGGATGGTACTTTATCTCATGACCTATAACACCTTTCCCTGCCCACCTGGTCCTTTGTGTGAGGAGTCAGGGAAAGCCCAGAAGCCTTGCCTAGACTCCTTAGTAGATAGAGGAACAGAGAAGCTGACTCAGTGCCCTGAGATTTCCAACATCATCTCGCAGGAATTAGGAGACACCATGTTCAAGAGTGGGATTCACTGAGTTGAGTTTTGGCTGTGAACTTCCAGATGAGGTCTGGACATACTGCCAGGACCCAATCTTCCATGGAGCCAGCGTGTCCAATCTACTTCTGAGGAGGTGTGTGCCTAGAGACGGTCTGCTTCTGACTCCAAAGCTCAGTGGATGTTGCCTTTCTTACAACTGGTACTGGAATGAGGGCTGGTAGTGGAAGTCTGGTGGACATTTTGCCCAGAGCACCCTCCAGAATGATGCTCTTGAAGTCATGGATTTTAAGGATGTCTAATGATAAGGAAAGAGCTTGTGTCAATAGCTCTCTCCCATTTCTTATGGAAATGAGGGATGCTGAGCTCAGTGCATTAAGGATGGTCGTGTCTGCTTTGTGCCTGTCCAAGGAGTTGTAAAATAGAGTTTTATTTGGTCTTTAGAGACGTTCTACAAAGTAGCAAGTCATTCCCATCACCACAATAATTATCATTTTATAGATTTAAAAGCTGTAACTTTGAGAGAGAGAGAGAGAGAGAGAGAGAGAGAGAGAGAGAGAGAGAGAGAAATTGTTCAAAGCCACAGGTATAGTATATGAGCTTGACTTTAAAGCATGTAAGCTCTTTCTTGTTATTTTGATTTTCCCAGGTTCACCCCAGTTTCTCTTAGCTCTCTCCTTTCTTTGGGAGGTCACCTGTCTTTTGGTTTTTTGAGTGAGACTGCTTGCTTCCCGTGAAGATTTTTCTACTCCTTCCGGTCCTACCACGTCTCAGTGGTCCGACTGGCATCTAGGTGATGCCAGATGGTTGGTGATCCTGTATAAAGCATGGAAGGAGGCAGAGAGGGTATTTAAATGAGAAGGAAGGGTGGCAGCAGCACTCTTGAAATCTGAAATGAAAGTTATGCCCTGGCAATGCTGAAGGCTGCATGGGCAGTCCATATATGGTGGTTCTGTTGAATTTGTCCGTATTGGGTTTCATGGTCTAAGTTGGTGAGGACGACAGACCAGGTTTCTTCTTCTGCTTTCTAAATCACTTCTCTCATCTCCTAGATTTCAGTTCACTTCCCAGCCTGACTTCCTAAGGTCCAGTCAGTTCTGTTATCATTCAGGTGCATGTTTAACACATTTCCTCATAGTAAGTGACCTAGACTTGGAGTCTGTTGTTTGAAATTTATAGTCCTAGACTATATGTATCTGTAGGCTACTGGATGCAACAGCAATCCCATATTTGAATTAGCTTGAAAAAATCATATTCTCTCCCATATAAAAAGCAGAGAAAGCTTCAAGTGTTTCCCCAGTCCTAGTAGAAGGGTTCACTTCACCTCTAATCAAATGTTTGCTTTACAACTCCTTGGGGTGTCCTTAATTTCTGTTGTAAAAATGTGTAGAAATGGTAAATCGTGGCTGGATTCAGGGTTGACCTCTGTATTAGTTACTTTCTACTGGAATGAAACACCATGACCAAAAGCAGCTTCAAAAGTGTTTAGTTAGTTTTAGTTTCCAGACGGGGAGTTCATAACAGTGGGAAAAGCACAGTCACGTGTGTGCAGAGTACGAAGCTGAGAGACGGCATCTTTAGCCTTAAACACAAGTCATGGTGAGCGACCTGGGTGAAGGATGAATCTATGAATTAGTAAAGCCCACTCCAGTGATCTACTTCCTCCAATGACTTTGTATCTTTCCTACAAGCTAGCCGGCAGTCCGGGGAACCAACAAGCAGCTTCCTCCAACACTACATAGCACTACCAACCAGTGAGCACAAATTCAAACAGAGTGAACCAATGGGGACATTTCTCACTCAAACCACCACAGTCACTAAAAGTCATTTCAAGAAGTTGAGTCATTTGTTTTCTCTAACACAACAGGTCCCGTAGAACATGGATTACACCATTTATTCTTATGGGATAAATTCACATTAAGAATTGGAGTTTAAAATGTTTAATAGAACATGATTGCTGTATCTAAATCTCTGAAACATTAGTAGTCAGGGGAAAAACACATGTTGAAAATGTTTACAAGGAAAGAGTTCTGGAGATGGGTAGAATAGAAACTCCTATATAT